GGAATAACAAGTGAAATATCCACTAAAGCAAAGCTTAAGTATATAACACCAACAGTTTCGATGGCGAAAGCCACCAAGTTGCTGCGACGAGGCAATTGCCAGGGTTACCTGGTGAGCCTTGTTGATGATTCTCAGAAAGCACGATCACCTTATGATGTTCCAGTTGTTTGTGAGTTTGTGGACGTGTTCCCAGACGAGCTTCAAGGAGGACCGCCTAACCGGCAGGTGGAGTTCTCTATTGATCTCATTCCAAGAGCCAGCCCAGTATCCAAAGCCCCGTACCGTATGGCGCCGAAGCAGTTGCAGGAGCTTAAGGTGCAGATTCAGGAGCTATTACGACTCGGTTTCATCCGACCGAGCGTGTCACCTTGGGGAGTACCTGTTCTCTTTATCAAGAAGAAGGACGGATCCATGCTCATGTGTATCGACTACCAGGATCTTAACCGGTTAACGATCAAGAACAAGTATTCGCTTCCCAGGATCGACGACTTATTCGATCAGTTAAGGGGAGCCTGTGTATTCTCAAAGATTGATTTATGATCAGGCTACCACCAGCTGAAGATTAAGGAGTCAGATATTGCTAAGACCGCTTTCAGGACTCGTTACAGCCATTACGAGTTCATCGTCATGCCATTTGGCCTCAGTAATGCTCTAGCGGTTTTCATGGACCTGATGAACCGTATTTTCCATTCCTACCTTGATCAGTTTGTTATTGTCTTTATTGACGATATTCTTATCTACTCGAAGAGCCAAAAGGAGCACGAGGAGCATCTGAGGGTAGTTCTCGAAACCCTCAGACGAGAAAAATTATATGTAAAATTCTCCAAATGCGAGTTCTGGCTCCAACGAGTAGCTTTTCTGGGTCATATGATTACTCAGGCAGGTATCGAGGTGGATCCTTCTAAGGTCTCAGCTGTTCAGAACTGGTCGACACCGAAGAGTCCGTCCGAGGTTCGCAGTTTTCTCGGTTTAGATGGCTACTATCGCTGGTTCATCGAGGGCTTTTCTAAGATTGCCCTTCCACTATCCCAGCTGACGAGGAAGTGTGTGAAGTTTGAGTGGACTGATCGTTGTGAGTCGAGATTTCAGGAGCTCAAGAGGAGATTAACTTCAGCCCCGGTGTTGACTATTCACGATTCTTCTCGGAGTTTCACCATTTTCAGTGATGCTTCGAAGTAGGGACTGGGGTGTGTACTCATGTAGGACGGCCAGGTCGTTGCCTATGCATCACGTCAGCTCAAGCCGCATGAACAGAACTATCCGACGCATGACTTGTAGTTAGCCGCCGTTGTCCATGCTCTCAAGATCTGGCGACACTATCTATACGGCGGACGTTGCGAAATTTTCACAGATCATAAGAGCCTGCAGTACATTTTCACGCAGAAGGAGCTCAACATGAGACAGCGCCGTTGGCTCGAGCTCGTCAAAGATTAGGATTGCTCGGTTCAGTATCATTCGAGAAAGGCGAACGTCGTGGCTAACGCCCTAAGCCGATAGGTGAGGGGTGACTTGACGTACGTTGTTACTCAGCAGAGTCCGCTAATTCAGGAGTTCGCCCGGATGCAGATTCAGGCGGTCGATGCACTTCTCACAGCTATTTTGGGGGGGGGGGGTGTCAGTGCCAGTATCAGTGCCATGCAGATTCAGCCGACGCTAAGAGAGAGAATCCGGCAGGAGCAGGCTTTTGACGAGTTTGTTCGGGTCATGGAGGCCAAAGTCTGCGCCGGAGGCATCGAGGGTTTTCAGTTAGGTTCACATGGAGCATTGGAGTTTAGGGGCAGGATCGTTGTCACGAAAGTCGAGGCGTTGCGGAAGGAGATATTATCAGAGGCTCATACCGCACTATACCTAGCCCATCCTGGGAGCACGAACATGTATCATGACCTGAACGGATCGTTCTGGTGGCGAGGGATGAAGAAAGACGTTGCGAGTTCGTCAGGAGATGTTTTACCTGTCAGCAAGTCAAAGACGAACATCAGAGTCCAATCGGCCTCCTACAACCACTACCAATTCCAAGGTGGAAGTGGGAGGAAGTCACGATGGATTTTATCACGGGATTACCGAAGTTGTCTGAACATCACGATGCTATTTGGGTCGTGGTCGACAGATTGACTAAGGTCGCTCATTTCTTACCTGTGTCGATGAAGATGTCTTTGGATAAGTTGGCTAAGATATATATACCCGTGGGATCATCCGACTCCACGGAGTGCCCGTTACTATCGTATCAGACAGAAATCCCAGATTCGTCAGTAGATTCTGGCGTAGTTTACACGAGGCGATGGGCACGAAGCTAGAGTTCAGTTCAGCCTACCATCCGAAGACTGATGGTCAGTCCGAGCGGACCATTCAGACACTTGAGGATATGCTACGCGCTTTGGTTGTTGACAGGGGTGCTAAGTGGGAGTCGTTGTTACCGTACACCGAGTTAGCGTACAACAACAGCTATCATTCTTCTATTTAGATGGCTCCTTACGAGGCACTTTATGGTCGTAAGTGTCGTTCCCCTCTTTATTGGGATGACATCGGAGAGCGACGAGTACTCGGTCCGAAGATGATCGAGGAGACCGCAGATTAGGTCGAGTTGATCTGGCAGAGACTCAAGACAACTCAGAGTCGACAGAAATCTTCAGCCGATCATCATTGACGAGACATTCAGTTCGAGGTTGGTGAGCCAGCTTTTCTTAGAGTTCGTCCTATTCGCGAAGTTGTTCGATTCGAGAAGAGAGGGAAGCTGCACCCTCGATTCATTGGCCCGTTCGAAGTTCTCGAGCGAGTAGGCGAAGTTGCATATCGCTTAGCCTTACCTCCTGAGCTATCCGGCATTCATAATGTCTTTCACGCATCTATGTTGCGTAAGTACGTGTGCGACCCCGATCACGTCATTCCTCATACAGATATTCAGGTTCAGCCAGACTTATCGTACGAGGAGCGACCGGTAGCTGTACTGGACCGTCAGGTTCGTCGGCTCCGGAAGCGAGATGTTCCCCTCGTGCGTATTCAGTGGGATCGCCACGGAGCTACTTGGGAGGCAAAGATTAATATTCGCGCACGTTTTCCAGATTTTCAGTTTTCATGTACATATTTTCATGTTTCATGTACATATTTCATGTTTATTCAGTTCGTTTTGAATTTCCGAGGACAGAAATTTTTATGGAGGGAGGATTGTAATATCCCGTCAGATTAGAAATATAAAGCATGTTTTAGTTCCGATATAATAACATTGTCGATTATTATTTTCGGAATTAATTATTTTCAGTCGAGATTACCCGAAATTATTTTTGACGTTCCGTTTACGTTCGGAATAATTTTGATAAATAAGCTATATGCTTAGTAATTAATTAAGCATAAAGTGATGATTAAGGATTAATTAACCACGTTTAATTGTCAAAGCCATAGCAAATTTTGCCCAATTCTATCATTTTGCCGTGGGCATTATGGTTAAATTCATGCAAAATTTATTTATTTTTTGTTAGTAATGTCGTAGGCATTTTCTTCAAACAAGGGAAATCTTCCCTTTGATTAAGCATGAGGTGGAAAAATTTGATGAGTAATCATCTCTAATTAATACTAAGCAACCAAGTGGCATGAGGAGAATTAAACAACAATGCACCTCATTACCCTAAGTCCATTCGGCCGCCATATATATAAGTGTAGAGGTGGGGAAATTTTCCCCATTTTTTAGTCTTAATTTCCCTAAACCTAAGCATAGAGAGTTAGAGATAATTGGGAGTTTTCTTCCAAGCTTAGCACCTACCACAAGAAGGCTTAACCGCACCGCTCCGTCGAGAGCACCGCTCGCACGCACGGAAGTCCAATTATTTCGATCAGTTGGTGCAATCCGTCAAGGGTTCAGGAAGGTAGCTTCGGTTTACCTTTATTTATTCATGTTATTTTCGATATGTTCATGATCATGGCGCGGCTTTAAGCCGTTCGTCCAAACGAGCGTATACCGTGCGTATAGTCATGTTGAGCATGTCATGTCTCAAGTTAAAATCTCTCGAGTAGTGGTCATATAATCAGCCTTTTTAAACAATATCATGTTCAGTCAGATTGTGTTGTTCGATGTATGTTCATGTTTGTTTGGTTATTCGACCGAGGGACGTGGTCGCGCACGTAGCGCGCACCACGGGCCGAGCACCACGATTGATTATGTTAAGTATCAAACCTTCAAACACTTCATGTCAATATATTCAGCAAACAGTATTTCATGTTCAGTGGAGTATGAATTGTCGAGATAAAAGTAGGTTCGGTCGAGAGACGACCTAACGTCGTCGGTGACGCACGATGCGCACGCCACGGCCATATTCAGTTCATAGTGAAAATTTCATGATTTTAAGTAAATTCAGTATTTATGTTCATGTCATGTCAGCTTATGTC